GGATATGTGTGTTCACATAAATACGCATTATAAAATCCATTCGAAATAATACGACGTCCGATATCCAATAAGAGAACAGCTTACTATTAGAGAATTCAATTCTCCATTGGAAAGCTGTTCTCCTATTGGATATCGGACGTCGTACATCGGACATCGGACGCAATGTGAATCCTCCATAACCATAAACAAAATCGAGTCGTGATTGGTTGTGATATATATCAATGGCCGCGTTCAGTAGAACAAGTGATCAGTAAGCGCTCAGTGAGCTCTTGCATCTGATTGGAGTATAGTTGGAGATCTAAAAGAATATGCCAAATCATATACAAGAGCTCCCTGAGCGCTTACTGATCACTTGTTCTACTGAACGCGGCCAATGACGTATATACATAGACCAAGCATTCTGTGACCGCAAAGTGAAGCCGGAAGTTGGCATTTTAAAACAGAGTGAGAAAGTTGATTTGCCCCTAGTACTTTCTCATTCTATTTAACATCATGTTGGACTGGCTCTGGGTTAACTCACTCTGGATTATTCAGCCTATGTTTATTGGTCGAACAAGTACTTATAAGCTTTATGATTGGCTAGTAAAGATTTATGACGTCATTAATCGCTCACGGAGCAATTAACCCAGGACCATTCGAACACGCTATTATTGACTGTCAAGCAGGAGGGCTTGTTTAACTGAAAATACTTTAAAACGTTAAATAAAGCAATGTGATTGATCCTTTCGTCACTCTGAAGCACTTATAGCACTAAATGGAACTATTTACAGCACTAAACTTTATCCAAGAACTGTATCCCATCATAGCAACCTAACCTTTCTTATTTGACAGTGAAATGAAAACAGGATAAGAGCAATTATTGTGATTATTTATATAACATAAAATATTATAAATATCAATTTTATATCGAGATAAATAAAATATACGGTTTTATTCTTTTAATTCTGCACTGCATTATATATAGTACTTGACAGCTTGACAGCGGCCATATTCTTTCTATATGATAGAATGAGAAAGCACCAGGAGCAAATCAACTTTCTTTTTCTGTTTTAAATTGCAACTTTCGGCTTCACTTTTCACTCTTGCTTGGGATCAAGTGTAAAAAGTGTATTAGAATTGCATTTATGGCTCCTGCACACAGGACGCGGTAATGCTTGCCGCGCGGCAGAAGTCGCGTTACAGCCAATCAATATGCTGCTTTCCGTAATAACCTTCCAACTCTCACGGAAAAACAACATATTGATTGGCTGTCGCACGAACTTCTGCCGCGCGGCAAGCGTTACCGCGTTCTGTGTGCAGGAGCCATTACACTCGTAACACGAACGGAAATCATGACGTCATTTTTAGAACCTCTAAACAATTAATGTGCACTAAGTGTGAAAGTGTAAAAAGTTCAATTAATGCGAATAAACTTCTTGGATATTAGCTATTTTCAGGCAACTCACATCTTCAAAAGACGTCCTAAAAATATTCTGATGACATCCCTCCGTCCTAAAAGCATCTTCAGAACGTATTTTGGAAAATTTGTGTTGTATGAGGTGCACTAGGGTGCAACGGGCATTAGTAAAAGTGTGAATAGTGCAAGTAACTCGAACAAACCCATGGTAGATCGGGACTTACACCAGTGTAGTAGTATAGCTGAAAAGAATAGACCAATGGTCGATCAGCATCCATCCCCACTCATAAAATGGTCGCTGTTCCTTCACGCGTGTGCTCTGGGAGACTCTTTTCCGCTTGATACTCGACAGTATTGCACTAAGCTAAAGGATCCGTCTGCATCTTTATTATAGTGCGCTCGAAAACAATTCAAGATGACTGAGACTCTACAATTACGAGGCACGCTTCGCGGCCACAATGGATGGGTAACGCAAATCGCCACGAATCCGAAATATCCGGACATGATCTTGTCCTCCTCACGTGGTAAGAATACCGCTTCGAAACATCTCTCATTCCTCCATACTCCTCTTCATGCCTTTTCGCGGAATTATATTACCAAGCCCTAATTCTGTATTTTTCTGCATTTGTATTTCAATCCATAATCTAATGTAATATATATATATATATATATATATGTTATCAAAAAACACATGGTATAACCTTAAAATATCGATTTCCCACTTGTATACGTGTACGTATTGCACCTACAAGGTACTAATAAATTACTGACTCACCCTCTTTTCTTTTTTCTAACTATTTACAGAATAAATTGTATAATTTAAAAAAATTGTTTTAATTACATTTTTTTATTTAAATATATGCATACTATATGTACTATATACGCACATACACATACATTTAATATTATAAAATACACTAATTTATAATACATATACTTAGAATATATATAGGGTGTCTCACTCTCCTCCGGGCATTTTGTGTGGACGTAGAATAGATTGATGTGAACATAAAAGTCCTATATCGTTTTGTGAAATTCGTAATAATTATCGAGATATTAATTGTAGAAAACTTGTAAATGATCATGCAGAATATGGTAAATGAGTTATAGTAGCGACGACTGCCGTCGTGTACTTATACTTTAGATCAAATTGAACAAAAAAGTCCTCTACCATTTTCCAAATAATCACATAGATTTTTAATTATTAATTAAAGAAGATTATTGCACGATTTTGCGTGATAATGAACTCATCTTCTTTAATTAATAATTAAAAATCTATGTGATTATTTGCAAAATGGTAGAGAACTTTTTTGTTCAATTTGACCTAAAGTATAAGTACATGACAGCAGTCGTCGCTACTTATAACTCATTTACTATATCTTGCATAATGATTCACAAATTTTCTATAATTAATATGTCGATAATTATTGCGAATATCGCAAAACGGTATAGGATTTTTATGTTCACATCAACCCATTCTACGTCCCCACAAAATGCCTGGAGAAGAGTGTAAGACACCCTGTATGTATGTACATACACACACACACACACACATATTTATTTTAAATAATTTCTGTGGACTATACATCTAATAAAGAAGTAAATATATTCAAAAGACACACGGGTATGGAATGCACATATGTTTTAAAAATGATGAGCCTCTTTTATGATATTCATGATAGATCTAATGGTAGATCTAATGAGTGTTTGCGGATATGGGACTGATATATATATATATATATATATATATCCCATGATAATTCACAACAAACTACTAGTCGTCTTCTTTTTCCTGCAGATAAGACCCTGATCGTGTGGAAATTGACACGCGATGAAGCCAACTACGGTATTCCGCAGAAACGTTTGTACGGTCACTCGCATTTCATTAGCGACGTAGTTCTTTCCTCCGACGGTAACTACGCGCTGTCCGGTTCATGGGACAAGACTTTACGTCTCTGGGATTTGGCCGCGGGTCGTACGACCAGAAGATTTGAAGATCATACCAAGGTGCGACTCCGACCTATCGCGACCTAGCGCTCCGCGCACTTTTACGCAAAACGAATTTGTAGTCTCGCGTTTTTGTCCTTGTTATGGCGACGGCATGGAATACGGAATACACTGAAGCTTTTTTTTTTATATTTTTTTTACTTTGAGTAAGTAGAAGAGGTTGGGAACGTTGGTTAAATCAGCAGTGTCGTAAGTACTGCTCTGATACTGATTAGATATGCAGTGCATTCGTTGCGTCTTTAATCGTCTTGAGATCTGTTTCCGTCCATAGGATGTCTTGAGCGTCGCCTTTTCCGTGGACAATCGTCAGATCGTCTCTGGCTCGCGAGACAAGACCATCAAGCTGTGGAACACTTTGGCTGAATGCAAGTACACCATCCAAGACGATGGACACACTGACTGGGTCAGTTGTGTGCGTTTCTCCCCCAACCACGCGAATCCCATCATTGTTTCCGCGGGCTGGGATCGCGTCGTGAAGGTAAAGATGAATAAATTAACTCTAGTAGGAATGTGCATTTTTTACTTTTCTTTAAATGCCTGGTCTACTACTGTCGAGGTATATTTCTATCAAAATGTATAGTTTTATCAAATGTTTATTTTTTGGAAATACACATAGATAATAGATCCTTATTCTAAGCTCTGTTTTATCGATAAAATCTCTAAATAAAAGTTTATAAGCCTTCTGATTGACTTTGTCACATGTAGAGACACTTTGATCTATAAAAGCGAGTTTAGGACAAGGATAAGGGGATAAGTTTAATTTAGGATAAGGACCTAGCCCTTATTGTGTATATTACAAAGAACAATGTATATTAGACTAGACTTCAAATTATACCTATAGACCACGTGCTTAATGAAGGGTTAAATGCATTTAAAACATAGACATAAGATGCACAATGTTTTCTAAGAATGATGAGCCTCTTTGTGATATTCATGATAGATCTAATGATAGATTTAATGAATGTTTGCGGATATGGGACTGACATTGGGGACATAGAATTATAATTGCATAGTTCAGGAATTAGCGCGTTTACCACTTTACGTCTTGCAGGTTTGGAATTTGACGAACTGCAAACTAAAGATTAACCATAGTGGTCACACCGGCTATCTGAACACGGTCACGGTATCGCCCGACGGCTCGCTTTGTGCTTCGGGTGGCAAGGTATATTTCTCTCTGAATTATCGCATTAGTCGTGTTTATAATCAAGTATCGATATTAAATTTACATGTTTTTATTCGCAGGATTGCAAAGCCATGCTCTGGGACTTGAACGATGGCAAGCATCTGCACACCTTGGACCACAACGACATCATCACAGCGTTGTGCTTCAGTCCCAATCGTTATTGGCTCTGCGCCGCTTTCGGACCGTGGATCAAGATCTGGGACTTGGAGACCAAGGAAATGGTTGAGGAATTGAAACCTGAGGTCGTGTCCGCGACCAGCAAGGCTGAGCCTCCTCAGTGCTTGTCGCTCGCGTGGTCGACCGACGGTCAGACCCTATTCGCCGGCTACTCCGACAATACTATTCGCGTCTGGCAGGTTTCTGTATCTAGCGTATCACGATAAGTACTTTGTAATAAAAGTATAAAATCAAATCTTGAGAGATCTAACTTGTGTTGCTTTCTTTATTTACATACTTTAAGCGGTAACGTCGAGATGCACGACATTTTACTACCACGAGATTATACAAGATGATGCACGAAATCGCACTCGTTGATAATTACTGTCAAAATCTATTTTTCTTTAGCCTTTTCTACTTTGTTGATTTTTTCTTCCAATTTCTGGAATTCTTTCTCCGTGATCTTGTCCGTTTCGTCCTCCACCTGTATAACTCCGAGTACTTCGGGTATGTAGAATTGCATCATGTTTTGCACACCATTCCTTAGCGTCACTACTGAACTCGGGCAATTCGTGCAGGAACCCTGCATCTTCAGTTTTACTATACCTTCCTCAAAGCCCTATAAAAACAAGACAGAAGATTCTTTATATTTTAATTGACTCCTTTCATCCAAAATACTGGAGATCAGTTATAAGTCTCTGCTGTCTTTTAGAATTTGAGGAAGATACATGCCATGAATACAATGTCACCGCCATCTTCTTGCACCGTGGGACGTATTCGTGTGTCCAGCAATTCTTTTATCATCTGGACAACCTCATCATCATCTGTGCTAATTTCTGTAAGAACAAACGAAAATACACGTGTTCTTTACTATTCCTTTGCCATTCTCTTTCCTGTAAGCTAAATTAAAAAACCGTACGTGTATCTGCTGCAGGTTGAGACTCATCCATGATTGGTAACCCACTCGCAAAAAAGTCCATGACAGTGGCAAATACTTCTGGTTTTAATAATTTCCATTCTATATCCTCATCGAGCTTAGTGACTGTGATAAAGTCAGGCCCAAAAAAGATAGCTTTTACTCCCTCAATACGAAATAACATTTTTGCAAGCGGTGAACAATACGCGTCTTTAGCACTTGGAAAATCTTTCGTGCATCCTTCCCCCAATACAGATACCCCTGGGATAAATTTTAGGCTATTTGGATTTGGTGTATCCTGCGTTTGAATAAACATATTGCGTTTTTGTTGACTGGATATTGGAGGCCTGTGTCTAGAAAATAATGTGCAAACTGCATTTTCTGCGCTTGCGCTGTACAAATACCTGCCGCTAACTGGAAAAGCCCTAGAGAATAAAAGATTATTTGCATAATCAACTCGTTTGTAGATTTATTGTAAAGTACTTCCCAGTATAAATATCAATCAATATTACATCAATGTGGTAATTTACCATTCAGTAATACAAATTTAATATAACATACATTGTACATAACAGTTACATTGTGTTGAGTGAGAAATTATAACATTGATGTAATATTACTGAGTAAGAAATTATAACATTGATGTGATATTACTGTCAGTTGATATTTACTGAGTTATATGACTATTAATCATATGTCATTTATGAAGAAATCAGGATTGCACATTTATGCATAAATTATAATACTCTATGGGTCTGTTTTCTATTGCTGAATTAGTGTACACTTTTGGAATTTAAAAAGATATACAGGTGGAAAATTTGATGGAAGATGAGAGAGAATTAGTGCAGCCTGTTTAGCAATAGAAAACAGACCCTACATCTATATATTGACAATATAAACTATATATGAGATATCATCTATGCAGACAATGAGTAATTTGCCATTTAGTATCCACAAAATTCTTTTACGTTACATTCTTAACTACAAAGAATTAATTTACAAATCTGTCATATGATAAATTGAAAATCTTATGCAATTTATCTCTTTTAAACATTGCATTTATAATTAATATAACAGATACAGTGACTGTCTCTTATAATTGCTTTTTTGTATATTTTAATATTGGTTGCAATATTCTATGTAATTTACATCGTCCACATGAAAAATAACCGTGTATCACGTAAAAAACACGTAAACAATGCGCGTAATCTTGGAAACTATGGCACAACCCTGCAAAAAACCGATTATAAGGCTTACGTCGAATATTCTTGCGTTGATAATATTCTATTAATTGCGGGTGCACATCGCTCCAAACACAATTTATTTGATGCCCTAAAAAATACATATATGTACATAAACACACACACACGCGCTTAAATACTTCGCATCAATTGTTAAAAATGACAAAATTTTTATTCATCTAATGAAAAAAGTATATTATTTACTGTATGCATTGGTCGTTCGTTAAAGTTCTAAGCAATGCCGGTCGATTCGTACGAATAGACTTAAAAATTTTATCCATTGTTTTGGCTTTTCATTGACGTCTCGAGTTGTCAACGCGCAACGCACTATATATCACCACTGATTACATATGTATTTTCCTCTACTCGTGATACTTCCTTGTTAACAAATTATCAGCAAACTATCGTAAAAAGAACATGTATTTGTTATTACGCCGCACTACAGAAAAGATCGAACTCTCCACTTTGCAAGAAGGTTATGTCTACTCTCTCTACACTCTGAAGTACTTTCTGCACTTTCTGGTAAGTTTCTTCTCCTTCATTTTTTATTAAACTTCAAATATATGCATAACGTTTTTCATTCTAGACATAACAAACGCGACATAATGCAATCAAAACGAACAAACTCTGGCCTTCTTCTGAACTCTCTTTTATCGATGAGAGCGACTCTAAATATGACTGAAAGCTAAAAGAAAGTTTATAAGCTGCATTTAAAGACTTTTATTGATAAAAGAGAATTCAGAATACAAAGTTTTGAAATGATCTTCTCGAACAACGCGAATGCGAAATTAATAAATATACACTGAGAAACGTGAAGATTTATCTATATAGAGTTTATTCACAGAATTGAACTTCATTTCGCGCAAATCAATTTTATACTTCGTGGATAAGTTTCCACGTATTTTTCAAGTATTTATCATCAGTATTCTTACGCCGCGATTTTTCGGTCGCGAATCTCCCGCGCGTTGGTTAGCCTGCGCGCCAAGACGGCGGCGCGCCCGCCCGGCTCGCGGCCAACTTCACGTCGTGCGCAGTTGAGCGTGCCCGCCGCACTTCTCTAGCGCTTCCGCAGAGCGGAGTGTCGCACCGTCGTACGCCGCATCGGGACGCACTGTGCAGCGGTGAGACAGAGCCACGAAGGTAGAGGGAACGAGACAGAGAGGAGAGAGATACACGAGGCTGGTGCGGTCACTGACGCGCCCACCGTCCTCCACGATGATGGATTTCCCCAGAAGAAATGTGAGACGAGTCACGATGCTGGAGGAGACATCGTTCCCGGCCGCCGAGAAGATCCTCACCGACATCGAAAACGTGCTCAAGAGGAATGTTACTATGTGAGTAGTCTTGTCTCTTTTTCTCTCTCTCTCTCCTCTGTTTCTCCCACGACGGCAAGCGAGCTCTTCCGTTTATTTATGCCTGTCGAGGTCTCGCTACTCGAAAGATCATAGCCGGCGGAGTTCGGTTGATTTTCCGATGCCACACACACGCGAAAAACGCCCTTACGCCAAGCGCCACGTTCTCCTCAGGTAAAATACGGAGAATTGCATGTCGACGCTGCAATAGCGAGACTCGTTAATTACACCGATTTCAATCCTCACGGCTCGCTATTGATGACCAACTGACGTCTCGTAACGTTGGGTTTGCTCCTTTCATGTGCACTTTCTACACCTCTCTGCAATTCTATCCTTAATTATGTCGGCTTGTCCACTATATATGCCACGAAGCACACATTTATCTTACTGATAAAGATACAGGAGACTTGAAGGGAACAGTCGTGTCGAATGAGTGCTTGAATGTCACCGCGTAGATCGCAATAGGCACCCTAACCTATATCCCGAACTTTGTACGGGCTCCATTTTCCGAGGTTCGCGCTGCACACCCTTAGAATCAGCCGGCGAGTGAAATACGCATTCCCGGCGGCTTTGCCGCGCAGGGCGGAGTCTTGCGAAAAAAGGATATGATGCACACAGGTCAGCGTGTGCACTTTAACACTTGTGTCATTACGCCCGTATCAGATTGTGGATCGAGGATTGCAATCGGACGAATCAGGTGATCTAAAGCTTGGTTCTGCTTTACAATTCTCGATCCATACGGCATTAAGCCCATATAAAGCTTAATCTACAATGTGCTCTTTGCTTATTCTCTACCTATTTTTGGCCTAAAGCTTAATCTATAATGTGTTCTTTGGTTCCAGTTTCTTTCTCTGTATCTCTTTCTGACTCAAACCTTAAGCCTTAGCCCATATTTATAATATGCTCTATGCTTCCAGTTTCTCTTTATATCTCCTTCTGACTTAAATCTTAAGTCAGGAAAAAATAGAGAACAAGAAACAGAAAACAAAAAACATATTGTAGTTCAGGCTTGAAGCTTAAGGTTTGAGTAAAAAAAAAATAAAGAGAAAGAGAAAGAAGTAAGATAAAGAGAAAGCAAGGACATATATTGTAGATAAGGCTTAATAGAGAGCACAGACTTATATAATTCATAATAAAATAAATCAATGAGAGTTCTTCGCTTCCATTGTGGGGAATAGAAATGAAATACTTTGATTGGTTCATGTTGTAATGTGTTATACAAAAGTCTGTACTCCTCTTATCACACTAGGAACTGTTGATTGGACAGTGACTAACGATTATAAAATAGAACATTGTCTAATTGGCAGTAACTAATCTCAATCTGCTTTGCTTTGATTGGTAGGAAGGTAGTCGCCAATCGGCAATCGCTAGTCTGATGCGGGCTTTGCCGCAATTTTCAACCGCACGCATATGTACAGACGCATTGCATACGGCTGAGAATTGCGGTCGCCAAGTTTCAAGACACATACACCAACCGTGTACATGTGTGAGTGGGTGTGCTTATACACGTTCCAATCGAGTAACGTCGGTTGTAGCACGAATCGACCTCGCGCGTAGTCGATCGAACGATCGATCTCGCGAGCTTCTGTCGCGATTCCCCGCGTTTCTGTAAGCAAGCGAGGTCAAAGGTGAAGTCGAGATACATTATATTTTTCTGCACGGCTAAACGTAAACGTAATTTTCCGTGTCTATTTAAAAGTGATGTAAAAGTAATCGGAATATGTCAAGAGTCATGGTGATATGTATAGTTGTTTGCATGCAGACTGCGACACTTCTTTGTGGGCAAGTTTGTGGACACGCGAATTTAACGAGGCCGCGAATCTCTATTCCCTGAAATTTAATCAATGTATTCATCACTGAAATGCTGCAGTTACAATTAATGATTCAATTATAAGTATAGCACTGCTATCAGATACAATCTCACTGAAAGGATCAATTAATAGTAGCGATTGTTACCATTATATCGATGTAATTTGCAAATTCAGACACAAATTGCGTGAAAGCCGTTAATTTCATCACTACAGACGCAGAAAGCTGAATTCGGAACAGCGTATGACAAATTTGGGTATTACAGATTTTGCAGTGAAATCTTACTTTCACTTTAAAATCAGCGAGATATACGATAGAGTACACACTGAGAAAACAATATCTAGAGAATAAGAAATAATTTTTCAATGGGAACTAATACTACACATATATTTACTTATACTAATAAATCATATTTACATTGAGACATATTTATACATTTTGAGAGAGATTTCTTTTGAATGAGAAAAAAATAGATATTTTTAAAAATCTATTTCTTCTAAAAAAAAGGATACGAAAAAATATTTTTAGCAAAAACATTTTTAGCAAAAACATTTTTTTAAGAAAATAAATATTTTCCTTTTTTTTAACTTTTATATACTCCATTTATACAAAAGAGTTTTGATTTAAACAAATATTAGTACTCACTTAATAAATACTTTTTGTTCTCTCTGTAAAATGGAAGTGTTTTTACTGAAACACGAATACTCATTTATTATTGAAAATTCTTCTTTCATTGTTTCACTCAGAAATATTTGGAAGCAGTTGGTCTAGTTGCAGATTTTTTTTTGAGAATCCGGGACAAAAAATTCGTATATAATTATATACAAATATATATAATTATATGTATTAATTTTTTACACATATCTGACCTTATATATAATTATATTAGATATGTCCATACATAAAACAAATACTATTGAATGAAAAAAGGAAAACATAATTTGACTCAATTAAACGTCAAGATCATGGATTAACATAAGCAGTTATTTCAATTCACGACAGCATACTTTTCAATGTAAACATATTGTATAATCCCATTGAATATATTATACGGATATCCTACAGATATTGAGATATCTTTATAATATCCTTGTGATGTATTCGGGACATTTCTGCTGTGTGGAATTATTTATGATCATGTATATGAACAAAATCTATAGATAAACTTTTTTATCAGAGAAAGAGATATGGGAAAGTCCGGAAAGAGTAAGAGAAATTAGAAATAGATCGACGTGCATGGTAAATAATCGGCCGTGTCTGGTGCTGGCAAAGTAGCGCTAGCTGATCTGGCAAGTCATCAAGCGTCAATAACTGCGGATCGCTTAATATCTTTAGTCTATCATTGGGCATTAATCGGCAAAAATTTTCCTCGACTAAAATAGCCAGCAAATCAATAATCAAGATTAATAATTTGTCAACGTAGGAGAACCTGGGACATAATAGGATGCGGTCGATAACTTTTTAGAAAGATGTTACCATGTAATGAAATGTTTCGCAATTATTACTGTTAGATGTCTCTTACCGCGTATTCTTATCAGTTACTATATTATTTTTAGCTGAAAGATACTACAAATTAGTTTAATTTCTTTGCTGCGTTCTCCACAATTGCGTTGAAATTTGTTTGATATATTTGCACAAAGTAAATATTGATAAGATTCTTCTTTTTATTACTGTATGTATATTAACGTTATTAGACGATCTCTTCTCGTCATTTTAATTAAATGCCTGTGCAAAAACCGACTATCTATGATGTTTTATACTACATAATCCAAACTTATACATTTCGAGGTATAATGAATTATGCCATTATGTTCTTAAAATGTTAAGTTGCGTTATTTCTTATCATATGCTACGTTTCAACTATATATGGTAAAATTGACACCAAAGATTACTATACTAAATAATAATTGTTATTAATATTTTAATAAGAAAAGAATATATTTTTTCGTTTTACAAAAAAGTATTATTAATAAATAATTGCACGCAATAAATAAGTAATTAAACGTGCAATAATACATTTTTATGTATTGCATTTAACGAATTATTTTTAAAAATGTTTTAAAATCAATGATTCAGAAATAAACAAGTCAAGTATTCCATTTTACCTCGCGTAGGAAGCACAATGAGGTTAATTTACGCTTTCAGTAAAACAATAATTTTGTTCTTTTAAAATATTCTTTTACAATAAATTTTGGGTTTTTTTATAGTGGACAGAATATTTCAAAGAATATTTTGGTGCAAAACAAAATTTATTTATTTATTTTCAATATATTTAAAACTTGTTTAAACCTTATTCTTATTATACCTCAGGTTTCTCTATGCAATCATGAATAATTTAATCGACTGATAAAATCAATTGTTAAACAATGTATCATTCAATTATGTCAAAGTTTGATCAATAGTTAGTTCTATTAATCAACGAAATTATTTGTGATTTCATACATGACGATTGAATTTGGATTATTGATTTGTTGATTATTTTGATCAAAGAAAATTTTAATTGATTAATGTCCAACACTACTTTTTTAATCACGTTTGCATAACGTCATTCGATCCATCGCGTGCTTATTTTTATCGAGTTTCGAGCTCTGCATCAGCTATCGCGAATAAATCTATGTTGAAATGCCAGCAATCGTCACGTGTCTTCTTCTTCTAAAAGGAGATTTTTCCCGTATTTAAATAAAGAAATTGTATCTCTAGAATTTTAACATTTTCTCGATAGTTAGCACAGCTCGAAACGCACATGTCGCGTGTTGCGCCGCTCATGGTAGATTTAAAAGTTCCACACAACTTCGTCTTGATCCTGATCTAACCTGACCTGACCTGAACAAACTTCTCAATATTAACTCTACATGCTCGCAATCTCACGGCTAACTGGGGTACGAAGGAGAAATTTCCAGACAGAAAAATTTCACGCGCCGTTGAAAGTATCTCACTGACATTTCACAATATTTTCAAAAATATAAGAAGAAAAAAGACAAAAGTTTAAAATTTTTGCAAAAAATAGTCGAACAGTTCGCGCGTAAAATTTATTTTCGATTTCTTTTACTTGTAATACTTATACATTTTATCATCATTATCTTCTTATTTATTTTTAAATATTTTCTCGTATAAATCGAAATGAAATTCTCTCGAAGCACGTTTCCGGAAACGGTTATTTATAAGTTAGTGAAGTAAGTTTCTTTCCCGTTTCATTTCATTTAACATCACATCCTCGACGCTATCGGAGATAAACTTTTCTTTTTAATTCTCACGTTGCGCTTCTCACGATGGCCTTAAAGATCATGAGACTTCGATAATTCGACTTTATTCCCGATATCGCGATAGTAAGTAGTAAGTAGGTCGTAAGTTAAGTAAAAAGTGGCGGGAAAAACACGTATCGACGTCACTCTCATCCACAAGTTACGAGTTAGCTAAATTAGATCGCCGAGATCTACTCTCTAAATTCTTTGGAATCAAATCTCATTCAACACGAGCGAGAAGTAGCAATATTCTCACCCGAAGCGACAGTGAAAATATTGCCACGTAAAATCGTAAGAATGTTTCGCTCGCGCTTAGAAGGAATGTTGACTTCACACGAGCAGATATTTCGATCGATGAGAGCGTAAATTGTTCCTTGTTTCCGATAAAAATATTTACTTGACAATTCAAAGTGGAGAATTCACTTATATGAGAGAAAAATTACTCGAAAGTGACTCGGTGACCATATTGTTTTTCAGAAAGAGTGAGCAAAACATGTTGATGGTAAATGTATTGTAGGTGCACTACATTGTAGGTGACTATGCACCCAACTGTACATTATGATGGCAACTGTAGTATAGGCGACTATGCACCTAACTATACACTATGATGGCAGCTATATTAAAGATGTAATTATACTCTCAACTATACACTTAAATAATATAATCTTATTCTTCCTCTTATACATAGCTTCAAAAGGATTCCTGTAAAACTAAAAAAAATATTTTAACACTTGAAAGAAAATAACTAGTTGCAAAATGCCATTTCCTGTAATTCCATATTCTAAGCGGACTCTTACCGTAAGAATATTCCTTTTCTAATGAAGTGAATTATTAAATAGAAATCTATTAGATATTATTCCAACTTTCTTCCTTTTGAACTAAGATATGTTTATTTGAAACATAAAATATCCTCTTACTAGAAGAATAAGATACTTGTACTGTAGATAAAAGATAAAAGTTCTCTAATTAACTGTAAGAATATTGTGCTTATAATATTGCTCTTTTGGTTTCAGAAGAATCTTCCTGAGGAGATATATGTATAAGAGGATTCCGCTAAAGATAAGATTTTATTTTTTTTTAGATATACGCGGGTTTTAAACTATTATATAGTTTTTTTAATAAAATGTAGGATATATATAGTTTTTAGTAAACTAATTTATCTAGTTATTGCAACTAAAGTAGTACTATTTTTAGTTGTAATAACTAAAAATAGTTAATAGTAGTATAATAGTATATAGTTTATTAAACTACACATGCACACACATATATATATATATATATATATATATATATATATATATATATAAAAATTCTACATACAAAAATCTTATAATTATCACCTATATAGTTGCCATCACCATGTCTTTTTCTCTGGGGAAATCGGGGCTAGATGTTCTACATGTTAGAATTTCGAAGTTATAACTTCTCAGAGGATTAATTATTGTGACTAACTGTGTAAATATGATAGAGGCAATCTTCTTCTATGTATTAATGCCCGCTATGACCTTGTCGATCATATATTTTGTTCTGTAATAAGCAAAATACGAACAAATGCACCAACAGAGCCATTTTGCCCTGGTATCGGATTTAGTTGCCCAGTAACGCAGGATAAGAAGGCCACGTATAAAATATGTATCCTGTCAAAGTCTCCGCGAGAGTTCTCCACAGCCCTCCTGCCGGTCCTTAATTATGGGCTAACTTTACCTCGTCTGCCCATATGCTCTATCTCAATCATTTTATTAATGAAAATTGCATTTATTATCACAAGCATTATATCATATACTTACAAGAAATTTCATTCCTAGTGACGCATCGCTTGATTTTATTCAGTCAAGATGGAGAATATTAATACAAAATTTCGAGAGGCTCGAAAATTTACTTTGCTATTACCAAATCAGTTTTTTTTCTATTTCTTAACTGTAATATTATTCCGATTTTAATGAAATCCAGGGAAAAAAGTATTTATCTTCTCTTTCTCTCTCTCTCTCTCTCTCTCTTTCTCTCTCTCTAAAAATCATTTCGCAATTTTGTATTTACTATCCTTCTCAAGATAAATACTAAAAACAGCACATAAGCAACATACTGAAGCCATATAGCCCCGGTCTCTCCTAATTTGCAAGAAAAAATTTCGCTTTAAGGAATTCAGAGACCAATGGGAACCCTGTTGCACACAAGAGACTTTCTCTTTGTACAATCGAACCAAATTTACCGGAGCAAAGGGAGAATTATTGATGTTCGCGACTTTACCTGTTCAGAAGGGGTTTCGAGATCGTACCAGCGCAAAACAACGAGAACCGGTCGCCGGTGTACCACGAGCTCAACTACCTGGCCCTGGAGTCGTGGTGCGTGGAGCCGCTGTACTGTTACGTGTACCGGCGGCTGTTGGAGTTCCGCCAGAACCGTCGTCGCTCTGCGGAGCCGAGGACAGTAGCGAGATGGCTGCTGGGCGCCCTCCTCATCAACCCGAACGTCATCATGCTGTGGAACATGCGACGGGAGCTGGTGCGGAGCTACCGGCTGGATCTGGGCGACGAGTTGCTGCTCACGCGGCTGGTGCTTTACCACAAGCCGAACTCCTACGAAGCGTTCGCCTATCGGCGTTGGCTGCTACCGCAGGTTCTAGACGCTAATCAGATCAACCTGTCGCGCCCTTACGACCCAGCGCCCGTGGACTCGCCCCTCTGCGCCGAGATGCAGCTCGTCGAATCCTGTGCCGATCGGTACGCGAGCAATTACCACGCGTGGAGCTACCGGCGATACCTGCTGACGTTGCGCAAGTCCCGCGGTCTCACGCACCCCAGCCTCGAGACCGAATGGAGGAACACCCTCGCGTGGTGCCAACGACACGTGTCCGACAACAGCGGCTACTCCTACCGGCAGTTCCTGCTAAGGCGATGCATGCTGGAGTTGACGTCGTCGTCGAGTTCGAACGAATTCGCCGAGAATCAGGCCAACGACCAACCCGACCTCGAGATTTGCGATCGCGAAGAGCGACTGCTCACCTACTTGGACATCGGTGCCGCGGACGGTCTTCGCAAGGTGTTCCTGGGCTGTCTGCGCGAATCCATGCGGCGGCGACCCGAGGACTGCAACACCTGCGAGAACAAACTCAAGCGCTACCTCCGGGCGTTGTCGTACTGGGCGGAGGAGAGCTACATCAACGAGCGGCTCATCTCCACGTTCGAGCACAACGAGGTGCTGTGGAGCCACCGCAGGTTCCTCGTGCAAATACTCATCCGCCTGACCGCGATGTACGTGAGACACGACCGCTACGTGGAGGACGAGCTCGCGGACGCTCGACTCCGCGACGAGCCGATTGTGTCGTTTGTGCGCAACAACGGCGCGCGCGACGATCCGGTGATCGCCGCTCACGTGCTGCTTCTGGAAGCCTTCCGCGTCGGCAACAACAAGATCGCTCAAATGGCGAAGGAGCGCGATCCCCACGAGAAGATGTTCGTCGACCGGTTCTTCAACTTCGTCACGGCCCTTGGCTTCGACAGCATCACATGATGCAGTCGGCGCTCGAGAAATCGAGCTTCCAGAATACGCAGAACGGTGCAGCACGTGCGCGATGTGTTGCCCGCGAGCGAAGGACGTGGTAACTCCTCGCGCCGTCGTCGAAGCACGTAGACGTGCATACTGAGTATTATCGTGGGGATCATGCAGTGGCGTTCGTATCTCTTTAATTAAGTTGCTGTCGACGTCATTTTTACTTTTTCATTTTCGCAATCTTCGCAAAATCGCCGAAGCGACGTCGGAGATGCATTGGGTATCTCGACGGATTTGTTGATTATTACTTACTAAAAGTATTGTGTTCACTTTCTTTCAGGAATATCCTTTTTATGAAATCCTCTATTTTAAAGAAGGGAGATTTCTTTCTTTTTATGAAATCGTTGATGTATTTTTTAAAAATACACTTGATGCGTCTTCATGATAAAATGATTTATTTTGTTATTGCTCTTATAAGGACATTATAGGATCATTAGAAACGGTTCTTTTTAAAAAAAAGTTAGATGCTTATGTTTTTTCACACACGGAAATTTGAGAGCGGAAATAATCGGTGTGTCTAGAGGCACGTTTGTTTCGTTATACTCTCCCAAGAAATATTGTCTCTTTAGAAAGAACACAATTCATCGTGTCTCGGAGATATTGCAACTTGGTACTTAAAGAATTAATCTCTTCGAGACAGCTACCTTCATGCGCAGATAAGAGTACGATCTTGCCAAGTCCGACACAACGTAGGCGAAACCATGTCGTTAACGACATTTACTTCCGTGCTGTTCGCTCGCGTAACGATTTCGACGAGCCATCGAGTACATCAGTACCAGTGATAACACGTAAAGGTAATATATAATACAAAGCGCATAATGATATGCGTGCGCGCGCGCGCGCGCGCGCGCGTGTGTGTGTGTGTGTGTGTGTGTGTGTGTGTGTGTGTGTCACACAGAGAGAAAGAGAGAGAGAAGTTTAACTCGCGAGTTCTTTCGTGAAAGGAAAGTGAAAGTTCTGTCGTAAGAAGAATAATTGTGTATAGTTGTGAGATTGAATGAAAGAAATGAAGAGACGTTAGTTTTTTAAATTTAAAATATTTTCTGTTACACACACTTCCTGCACAGATATGTTCCCGTTCGATCTCGACCTGCACACGTTCGACACATTCGAAATGTAGCTGAATAGTCATTCTCCAGTCTGAAAGTGAATTTTATGTCACACAGTGTAAAAAAATAAAACTGTTACATTCTTGCTGTCTCCCGTACAATCGAGTGCATCAGTGATGTCCCCAGTGCACTTACATTCAGCCAGAGAACATAAAGTACGTTTTAGAGACAGCTAAGTGTTGTCTAAAACAGAATGACATCTCTTTCAGATATCTCTGAGACACCTTTTAGACATTTATGCTCTCTAAGCAGCGTATCTTTACTCGATTGCACGGTTAGAATGTTTCGTAAATCGACTAGTCGCGTGTTGGTAGATTGGTGTAAAGAGATCGTCGTGTTTGTCAAATAAAATAGAAAACAGAATTATTCAATTTTAAAGGAATAATAACTTCTTACGAATAATAAATTTATGAATTGATGAAATCAATTATTAATCAGTGTATAATCGATCAAATCAAAGTTTGATAATTCGATTGAATTATTTGTGATTATATATAAGACGATTAACTGATTTTGACGATTGTAATCTGTTGATTATTTCAATTAATTAAAATCAGTATAACCAGTATAAATTAAGCAAATTTTATGTAAAAGCTATTAGATAAGCTAATATGAGCTTTATCATATAAAAGCTTTATACAAAATTAGACTTTTATATAAATTTATCATAAATTTTATATAAATTTATTATAAATTTATATATATTATAAAATTAGATTTGCCTAATTTATATAAGATATAAAATTAATGTCTAAAAATTATAATTTTATATGAAACTTTTATGATATAAAATTTATATTAGCTTATTTCATAATTTTTATATGAAGCTTGCTTAATTTATAATGATTAAAATTTTAATTGATTAAAATAATTAAATCAGTAGTAAAAATCAAATAATCTCATATATATATATATATATATATATATATATATATATATAATCATTAGTAACTTAATCGATTGATGAAATTAATATTGCGTATAAATTAGACAAAGACTAATCGATTAATGTCCAACACTGGTCCAGGCATTAATACACTCGATCGTGTGAGAAATTCTTCGCTCTGTTTAAAAGCTCCGCCTCGTATAAACAAAAGAAAATACATTTTCCAGAAATCCAAAATCACTTTCCGAAAATACTCGTCGCATTCCGATCGATTCGCGGCTCGAAAGAATGTAAGTACTATCATGTAAACAATCATGATCTTGTCAATGTGGCTGTCGGCGTTTACTTTTTGGCACGATAATGCGATAACGAAAATAAACCCTCGTCTCTCAACCACGCGGCTACTCAGTCACACGCAGCACGTAACCCGCGATTCACACGATCAGCACAAGCGATCTGGCGCAACGAACTTGCGAAAACAAACCCAGGCCCACACCAGGCTTAATTGTAGTCGTCCTTTTTTAGCGCCACAGGCGAGGCACTCGATGGCTTATGAGTCGCGAAAGCGACATCAATATCGATTGGTGATCGATAATCCATCGAGTCACCGACGTTCGTTCCTCACGCAAAACGCGATGCCAACGAACCATGACTCCCAAGGTTTGAACTAGAATTGTGTCGTAAATTTCAAGATTATATTTGTGCGGATTCTTTACGTATTGTCAATGTGATGTGTACACGGTCTTTTTCCATGTAGACAATGGAAATTATGTAGAATATTATAAATTATATTAGAATGTAATAAATGTACAAAAAAGTGTAAATAAATTATGAGATAATTACAATATCTGTTTTGAGTGTTAATTACAAATGTAATGTTTAAAAAAGATAACAGCACAACATTTTCACTCTGTGACGCGACAGATTGGTAGATTTATTTCTGAATGCAACACACTACAGAGAGAATTTTATAAAATCGAATTTAAGAAAAACAACATTTGTAAATTTACATTAGAATTTTTAAAGTCAGATAAAAATAGGAACTTTTCCTAATTAAGTTTCAAACAAATCATTAATTAAGTTATTAACAAAAGTAACGTTTATATATAAAACTGATTAGCCAGTAACCAGTAAATAATAGGAAATAAAATAATTAATAAATATCAACAATTTTAATGAGATATTTGATAATGCCAGCTGTGCCAGTAACTGAACTGAAAGACGAATCATATTCTAATTTCCTAATAATATAATTAGGAAATTGTATGCTTAATAATTGAATGCTCATTAAATAATATTTTACAAATTAGCATAAAAAGAAATATCTTCTAACAAGATATTTCAAAGTCTCTTTTTCTTTTTTTTTCTTAAAAATATTAAATATAGATATATTATTAATATTTCAATTATTGAGACATACTCAATTACTGGGACATTTATCTTAAATGCCCAACTCTGCTTTGAATGAGGGTTACATTGTAAGTTTCGAGATTACGTCGACACGAATTGTTTACGTATTTTCTGCGTGATGTGCACATCATCGTTTTTCATTATAGTTAATGCAGATTATGTAGAATATTGCAAATTATATTAAAATACACAAAAAAGAGTAATCGAATTATGAAAAAGTTACCATATTTGTCTTGAATATTAACTAGAAATCGAATGTTTAAATGAAATAACAAGTAGCATGACATTTTCATTTCATTATGTGACAGTAGTTTGGTAGATTTACTTCTCTGTATATAGGTAAGAATATATAACTAGAGAATTCTGTGAACTCTAACTTATTTAGAAAGTAACGTTCACAAATTTACATCAGAATCCTAAAGAGAGATTCAATAGGAGCAGAAATCTTTGTTAATTTCCAAACAAACCGTATGTTCTTTTTAAGCGAGCCAAACGTGGATTACTCATTGTCCACATAGACGTATGACGTTTTATACATAACACACGTTATTTGCATGTAGAGTATTAAGCGGGAAGCTTGCCCACTCTTGCATGAAAACATAATACACAACGTATAAAGAAATGAACCAAACAGAGTCCTCATTTCTATTGCCACGATGAACGTAAAGGACTCTGATTGGTCAATTTTCTTATATATTGTGCATTATGCCTTTATGCAAAAGTGTGTGCTTCCCGCTTTAGACCCGATCTACAATAGATGGAGTAAAAAGTAGGAGTAGGAGTAAGACGAAATGGAAATCATTTATTTCGCTTACTCCCTTACTCCAGCTCCTTACTCCAGCTCTTACTACTTAATTCAGACTTACTCCATGTGATGTAGACGGGCAAACTTTTATTGGAGTAAGGGAATAAGTGAAATAAATTATTTCCATTTCGTCTTACTCCTACTCCTTACTCCATCTATTGTAGATCGGGCTTTATAGTTTACGTGTAAACGTCCTGATTGAAATCCGTGACGTCCTCGTGCGACTAAGTGACGTCTGCTCGACGACAATGGACAGTATCGCGGGACATCGACGTTTGGCTCTTTGGCACGATGTGTCACGGCAAAAATAAACCATCGACTTCTAACTCGGTCTCGTCAGTCTCGCGGCGACGTTCGCCAGGTGCGCCGATCGCTCGCTCGCATTTATCGTTCGCGCTCATCGACTTTCGGCGACGAAGCGGAAGACTAGGAGCGTCTTCGGGGCCGACGCGTGACCGACGTTCGCCTTCGACGTGTGCGCGTTTCACGGCCAAGGGCACGCATCTCGACGTCACCGTCGCTTCCGCGAGAGAATCCCGGCGCGCGAATTCCTAAAAGTGGCACTGACGCATTCGGTGAGTTGTAAGCAAACGAGCGGCGAGCGAGCCGCTGGTGGACGTGAAAAGTGATACCTCTGCCAGTACGACGACGACCGCGGAAGCTTGCGTGAGAACGCGCGAAAATCGCAGTCACAAGGTGCGCTCCGCGACGCGTGCGCGGCCACCGCGGCCGATCGAAATCAGTGTTGTTAAATAAGTCCGCTTTTCGCGCATGCACATCGAAAATATCAGAAAATATATAGGAATGTGTGGACGGAAAGGTTGCTCGCTATTTTTGCACGAATTTCGAAACGTATACGTCTTGTCCGACAGAAATATTCTCCCAAGTGTCGCCAGAAAATAAATAAGTCAATTCTGAATAAGTTCTTGTCAATTTTTCCAAAACTCGCAAATAACTTCTTAGGAACGTCCAAGTAGGGATTACACACAGCAATAAATGAATTAAGAAAACTCAGGACATAATAGGAACTCTAAGGTTTAAACAAATTCCAAATGTATTAAAAATAAGTAAATCAAGTTGATTTTGCGCCAAAATATTCTATGAATTATACTATAAAACTACTATAAAAAAAGTTTTTTTGTGAAAGGAAAGTTTAAAAGAACGAAATTATTATTTTATTTAAAGCGTGAATTAATCTCATTATGCTTTCTACGCGGGACAAAATGGGATACTTCACAAAACTTGTTTATTTCCCAATTATTGATTTCGAAAAGTTTTTAAAAGTGACTTATTAAAACATGCAATATATTATTAAGAATTTATTATTGCACGTTTAATTATTTATAATTATGTATGAATGACTCTTGTCTTATAAAACAATAAAATTATATTTTTGTTTATTAAAATATCAATAACAATCATTATTTAGTATAATAATCTTTAGTATCAATTTTCAATATGATAAAAAATAATGCAACTTAACATTTTAAAAACATAATGATATAATTTTGTTATACTTCAAAATGTATAAGTTTGGATTATGTAGTATAAAACATCATAGATATTTTCAAATATTTAATTGAAAAATGACGAGAAAAAAAAGAGATCGTCTAGTAACGTTAATATATATATACGTTAATAAAAAAAAATTTGTATCAATGTTTACCTTGTGTAAATGCACCAAACAAATTGCAACGCAATTGTGGAAAACGCAGCAAACGTATCAAATAATTAGGATTATCTTTCAGTTAAAAATAATACGACAACTGATAACAATACGCGGTAAGAGATATCTAACAGTAATATTTACAAAACATTTCATTATAGCAGCATTTCTATAAAAAGTTATCGACCATTATGCCCCCATGATCCCGTTATAGATCAGATTCCCTTACATACTCTACTGTACGCCGAGATGGCGCATTCACGTTACATGTCCGAAAAAGGGGACTCATCTAACAACACTGATCAGAATCGCTGAAACGTAACGGCATCCAATGATCATGATATGATCAGGTGCTATCGAACTTCGACGATTTCTCGGCGTTCATACTTATTTGCATTTTTTACAAATCGATTAATGTCTCTTGGTCTTCTTCGCCACGGAACTCTTAACCGATTACGTCAAAAATGCAAGGAAATGCATGCCTAAAATTTCAGCAAAGTACGCCAAAATAAAAAGACGAAAAGGTAATATCTACGATCAATTAAGCATAAAAGGAAACGTCCAGTAGTCAGCACTCCACCTGTTTTCACCACTCTTGCGCGAATATTATCAAAGATTAAGGCGTATAGAAATTTCAAAGGAAACGAACAAGAAAATAATAGATAATGATTGCTAAATAATTAATAAGTTCCCACACATCTTAATGTTCGTTAAAATCCGAGCAAGAGCGCCGAAAACTGTTGAGTGCTATAACCAATGTCGATTACTTGTATATTTTCCCCTATCTCTGAAATATTCCGAACACTTACCTTGCGCTGTAACGATCGATAAATAATCCTAAAATTAACGAGATATGCAATCATGTTTTTAAAATTAACGAGATATGCAATCTTGTTTTTTAATCTACATGTCTTGATGTCTTTGTTATCTTGATTTTATGATTGATTTTACTTATTGATTTTTAGAGGGAAAGGAAAGTATTCTAGAGGTGTACTTGATCGTTATTTCTTCTCAATATATCCTTTTGGCAGGAATGTTTAGCATGCATTTCCTCGCTTCTATGACGTCGAAGACGATGAAGCAATGAAGACGATCGTGTTGAGAGGCCAATAGGCCGATTCTCTAACTCTATAACGACGATGCGCCAGTATAGTGTGACGTTATCTAGCTTTTTCACCATTTACTACACCTGCGCAACGACAGTATAACAACAACACTGTGTCGTTGAAAGTTACAGAGAATCGGCCTGCGGGAGCCTTTAGTCGTAGCCTGAACCTTTCCTCAGCCGGGTTACCTTCACGATCACGGCAGGCGAATACGAGAGAAAGCACCGACTCCGGGAGAATGGCGTTCAGTCGCGCGGGAGCGTTTCATATCGCGCTGCTCGTTCGCCGAGACGCCTATCCTTAGCCTAGATCACACTCGTTCACAACTCCGAGTGCGCCGCAGATAACCGGTGTCAGGCTTCTCGCTTTGTGTGTGAACTCGGCTGCATTTGGGAGTACGAAAGTGCCGAGATAAGTCTCGACGGGGAAGAAAGGAAGGGAAGGTGCCGCGCATTTCCGAAGTTTCAAAGATCGGGACGCGTCTCACCTCGGAGAAGAGAGGAGCGTGTGCGGCGCGATCGGCAGCCTCGCGTGTGCGGCGTCCTCTCACCTCGTGGCGCTTGAAGAAGACTCGCGCGCGCGTTGCGAGACACCTTCTGCCGCGACATTGAAGGTGGATTACCAAGAACACGTCTGTCGAAAGCCGCACGTGACTGCGCCCTGTCGCTACCATTGGCCGATCCGCTCGATCGTGCCACGAGACGACGACCAGCCGGTCGATAGGCATCCACGGAATCCCGACCCAGTGACAAGCACGTCGAAAGCATCAGCGGCGGCCGGCCCGGGCCGGCTTCGACGAGGCGCAACTTCTTTTTAATCCGGCGGAAAAATGGACAGCGGGGAAGAGCGCAGCGGAGAGTTGGAGCCGGAAACTGCGGTCGTCATTCTGCGACGAGGCGCTAGTCTCAGGATACCGTCGACCACCGCCGAGACAGGTAAGCCCCGCAAGACGGATAAACGGAGGATAGACGGATTCGCTGGAGGAATTGTCAAGCTCTAAAGCTCGCAGTTTAAAACCGGTGAATCGGAATTTTTCTCCGTCCTCTCGCGCACTCGGGACGAGACCACGGCCGGTGTACGTACTGACCCGTTTTAACGGAAGTTTTGAGGTAAACTCACTCACTGTTCGTCAGAGTGACTTTCCTGGTTAAATTCACGATTAAACCGATGGTTCACCAAGAGCAGCAAGCAAATTGTCGTTTAAACGAAGAATTCGCGTTAGTGATATGGAGTAAATGATATTCGACACATTGCAGTTTTAAATTTGTTACAAAGAGGACAACGGGATTTTTTCTGTTTTATTTGCCATGTGGCAAATAAAACTCTGCTGGTCGAGATTTGGTGTCAAAGATTACTTTTATTTTTATTATCTTTATTTTTATTTACTTTACTTACTTTATTTTTACTTACTTTAGTTTTATTTTTATTACTTTTATTACTTTTATTACTTTATTACTTTTATTACTTTTTTACTTTTATTACTTTTATTTACTTTACTTTTATTTTTATCTTTATTTTGATCCTCATTATTCGTTAGAATTAATTTCCCAATTCAACCAACGATTCACAGCAGTTGTGTAAATTATCGTCCAATTAGAAATCTTATTTTTTTATTTTCTTAAATTGAAGTTATTAATAATTTTAAATTGAAGTTATAAAGAGAATATGACAGAGTTGTCTTTTATTTGTCACATGGCACTTCTGATAGTTAAATCAATCGTCGATTCGTTTAATCAAGATTTGATAAGAGATTATTCTTATTCTTATTGTTATTCTCACTTCATTAAACTGACTTTCTCGAGGAAATTAACGGTTAAATCAATAATTCATTGGCAGCAGTTGTATAAATTACCGTCCAATTAGAAACAAAGGATCGATAATTGTATTTGCGTTAGCGATATGGAGCAGGTGGCATTAGAGCCACCATATATAGCAGTTCTAAATTTGTTATAAAGAGAAGATGACGGAATTTTCTTTGCCGTTTTATCTGCTACGTAGTATCGCGATTGAATCAATTATCGATGGAATTAATCAGATTATTCTTATCTTTGACCAAACCCTCATTATTTATTAACCAAATTCCTCATTGTTCATTAGAATGACTCCTGATCGAATCAAACGACAGCAATAAGTGTAAATTGTTGTCTAATTAGAAACAAAGATTTAATAATTGTACATATATATACACACATATATATATATATATATATATATATATATATATATATATATATATATATAT